ATATTATTGTTAATTTTATTTCTTTCTCTCTCTCTCTCTCTCTATTAAGCAAGTCAATCAATATAATTATATTTTTTTCTTAACAAGACGTATGAAAATTCAATTGACCTCATATATTTTTAAAGATTTTAATTTAAGTTACAATTTAAAACAATTTGAAAATTAATTATATTTTTATGTATAAGTTATTTTATTGTATTTTTATCTGTTCAGGTGTTTGCGACGAGCACGAATACAGACTGACAAAGCACTTGCTGGACGGATATGACGCCGGCGTGAGGCCTGCTAAAAATTCGTCTCAGCCTTTGGTCGTGGTCTTTGGACTATCCCTTCATCATATTATTGACGTCGTGAGTGTATTCGAGTGTAAATAATCTTAAAAATTAATATACGACGCGAAAGAGAACTTATTGTTCCGTTAATTTTCTTCTTATTGTTAGAACTTTATTAATTAAAAAAAATATTATGATTAAAATTCTGTTTATAATTTTATTTTTGAAAACATTTTTTTTTCTTAAAACTACTTGAAATAATTTTTAAACTATTTTAGATATTTTTATGAAATTTAGATTACAGAAATTAATAGATATAGTTTGCCTTTCTATATCTTTTTTACATTATTAACAAAATTTTTGGATAATTTAAATGTAAATATACGTATAATTTTAATATTATTTTACATAAACAAGAATATGTAGTATAATTACACAATTATGTAGTATAATTATAAACATTTTTAAATAAGTTTTATTTATTTAAAATTTACGTATGTATTTCTATAAATTAATCAGAAATTAAAATAATTAAGAATTTTTTAAAATTAAATATGTTTTTACATGTGAATTGCGTGAAATGTTTTTGTTTCAAATTCCAAAATGTTCAATTTTTATTAAATTATTAGCTACGTAGAATGGATATAATACTATGTATGTACACATGTATTTTTCGCAACAAAGTATTGACGATAGCTATAAATATCAGTAGAAAATCCGTTATTTCTCGAAATCCTTAAAGTTCAACGATCGAAATAAATTAAAGAAGCAAACTATTGGTTATACGATATCCTTTGCTAATGGATAAAGAAAAAGCCAAGCGTGGGACTTAATTCTTCAAAAATATTTTTGTATTCTTTCGTTTTCATTATCGAGATTGTACATTATATATTTGCAGAATCCCACGCTTAACTTTTCCTTTAGCTATTAGCAAAGGATATCGTGTAACCAACAGTTTGCTCCTTTAAGTTTATTTCGATTGTTGAACTTTAAGGATTTCGAGAAATTACATTATTGCTTATTAGCACAATAAAGATAATCATAATAAAAATAAGCACGAGAGAAAATATTTTCGTATATAGAAAGGATAACGGTGAGGCGTGACGTAATCAATTGAAAAAAGAAGTCTTCTCTCGACGGATTTCATAGAATAAAAAATAATTTAAATACAAGAAAGAAACTATATGAAAACGTGCGGTTATTCGATTTTTAACTGTATTTGCATTTACGTCTATGGATTTTTTTGCTATTGATTTTTATCAATGCTTTAGTATTCAAACAGAATTCTCAGTAAACGGATTTGATCTTTAATAAAATAAATTCCTGCTTCGTGGCTGGTGAAAAAATCTACCAAGCGATAGAAATAATATTTGAATTTACCGTCACTACTCGTGAAGAATAAACGACTTTTATTTGAAAAGCCATAAAATTTATGTAATAACATTACTCACAGCTTTCTCGCGACTATATACAGTATGTAATAAATACTGCGACCATATGTAATAAATATAAGTAATAAAGTATGTAATAAATATAATTATACATTGAGTTTATATAAACATTGCTAAGTTATTAGTTATTTAAATTTTATTAATTTTATATAAATTTTCTTTTATCATCTCTATCATTGATTATGTTAGATTTTCGAGTTTTCCTCTAGATTTGTATCGGTATATAAGGTAAAATTGAGAAAAATGCGTAACGAAAATGAAAACGTGATCGTGACGGGATCCTCGATGGTAATCGGAGATACGGGAGATAAATTGGCGTGAGACTAAGTAAGACGGTGGGAAAACTTCAGGCATTTGTTTTACGTATGGCAGTAACGAGAGCAACCTTTAACGCAACGCAGTCGATCAGTCACCCCAGGGAGGCTTGAGACGGTTAAAACGTCTAACGAGAACTTATTACATCTATTGCGAAAAATGTATGGTCATTCAATTCGTCTTCTTTTTCCATTTTTTTTTTTTTTTTTTCGTTTAATAATATTGATGATAATATATTACGTGGTTTTCTTGTCGAGTTTTGTTAATCGCCGAATCTATTGGAAACCTTTCGAGATATTGCTGGAATACACAATGAGATAATTGAATAATAATCGAAAGGACACTTTGCATGAATCCCATTTCTTTTTATTTGAAACGATTTATTCATTATATTAAATTTTTAATTATCAGTTATATACTTATGTTTGCAAAGTAAAAAAAGATCTTACAAAAAATAGCAAATTTTGCATTGCAGATATAATCATATAAATAATGAGCTAGAATGATCATTTGTTGATCTGCAATTAATGATTTATTTTATCGTGTGTTATTTGAGGACTATAAATTTTCATATAAACATAATCAATTTTGAATTTGCAATTGTTAGTCAAACAATAACATCTGCTATAAATTCCTATGGCTTAAATTCTCAACATACCTAAATCCTACAATTGAAATATTGAACATAGTCTCACGATGGTATCTTCGTTATATCATACGTTATTGGATTACACTACCACATTCCATTGATTTTCCATAGTATCTAATCTCAAGATAATACACGCGAGGATAAAGTTAAGTGAGACTAATATATCGCTTTCATGGAGATTATCTGTCAAAGAGAAGTATGTACGTATCTATTTTGTTTAATTATCATGGAAATAGCTACTCGAATAAACCAAAAAATTCATTAAATTATATTAATGAAAAAATTATTATAAATTTTTCTTTCATTTTTCTTTTCTTTTAAAGTTTAAAGAGAGTGAATAATTGTTTAATTTGCGACTCTATAATAATTAAAAATATTGTCTCTCATTTTTTAAAGTAAATGAAAACGTTATAACAATAATTAAAATATAATAATTATAATTAAAGATTGTTATAACGATTATAATTTTAACGATCATTTATCGAAGTAACTGTTTTAATGAACGATTTAGAAATATAATATACATCGAAATGTTACTAACGCTACTTTAATTATCGAATTGAAGGGATCCAATCTTGAGGGATGTCAGCGCAGATCTCTCAAAAGTTCACAAAGTGGTTAGACTGAGTCGAATAGAGAATTGAGGAAAGTGTACCGCGTACCGGAACCTTTGAATATTTATGTTCAACGTACAAAATAACGAGATCCAATTATAAAGAACTCTTGCTCATTGATCGAACGTCAATCTCTGTCGAGAGATAGCATTCACCGCGGAATTCGTTAGGTTCCAGGTTTCGCACGATTATAGTGGTCTATTAATATAAATATCGCGGAACTGGTTTGTATAATACTTTGCACTTGTCAATTAAGTATCTTATACTGCTAGCAAAAGGAAAAAAATCTGCGGACAAAAGTAACATTTCATCGTTTTTCTCGGAGCGGAAAGATATATTGAATTAATGTTTCTAAATGAATTAAGGTGTGTGTTTTCTTGAATTTCTACCTAATGCCTACAATAACTGTAAGCATAGTTAGTGGTTGTAATTGTAAGAATTGATCAATCACAATGGAATATTATCCTCATATTTAACTTCATTGATCAATTCTTACAATTACAACTACTTACAACTACTTATTATTGTAGAATAAGTATAAAATAAGACAAACTATTTTAGTTTATTGATTTCGTATTTATTTTACTTTGTCTTTATTTTTTTAAGTTGTTGTATTGTTCAAAATGAAAAAATTTCTAAAAATTTTCAATAAAAATCGCTTTAAAATATTTTATTTTATTTCTAATTTATTTGCAGTTACTTTTATAAGTCTAAAAATAAAGCGTGAAATTTATTAAATTGTGAAAATAATATTACTACTAACGTTTTAAAACTGTTTCGGATTTTGTGAGGGATTGATATTATTTTTTTTTTATAACTAGAAAGATATATTGCCTGTTATTTGTCAACCATATCGTCGACAATTCGTTTCGTTGATCTATATAAAGTTCAATTAATCACACAGGTCAGTTTCAACAAGTTTCTTTTAGAGAGCATTCTTTTTAAGCGTGACAAATTAAATATTTTATAATAAATTAGTTACAAATTATAAAACTTTTTGGGAGAATTTTTATTATATAGAAATATGCTGCTGATTAAGTAAAATAAATATCTTGTTTGTTTTGGCAAAGAAATCGTAAAAAGATTTTATAAACGAGCGAGAAAATGCATTATAAAATAATCGGAAAAATAAATTAAACGTTATGTTCAAACAAATTAATAAACGCTATAATCTGCGCGTGGCATTTATATTTATGTAAACGAATTTATATTGCAGTTTTTATGAAGATCATTTCGCTTCACATTCCTTTAGGTCTTACGATTTATAATTTATTTCAGGATGAAAAGAACCAGATACTTACGACCAACTGTTGGGTTACGCAGGTTTGGACCGATCATCATTTGAAATGGAATGCCTCGGAATTTGCTGGAATTCGAGTAATCCGCGTTCCCTACAATCGTGTCTGGCGACCTGACACGATTTTGTACAACAAGTGAGCAATCATTTCGAATCAAGGAATAAACTTCTCAACGCTATTGCACTTTAAAAATGTATATCGCAAGGAGAGAATTTATATATATTTAACCCGCGGTTCTGAGATATTACAAAAATTCCACAAATTAGGACAATGATTTATACGTTCTCTTGAGATCTCGTCTTAATCTTACTATTCTTTCGAAACATTTTTCAATTCCTTGCGGGATATTTTGCAATGGTACGTATAAAATAATAAGACTGGAGAGAAGATTCCAAATAAAATATGATTTTCAAAAGAAAAATATGTGAATACTCTTGAAAAGTAATAATTTTCGGGATCGGTTGAATATAAAAAAATAAAACTACAGGAGACACAAATAATTTAGGATAAATTTGAAGTTTGTATTACAAAATGGAATACAATATAAATGGAAAACAATAATTTCTTAAAGTATCCGAATTTCTTAAATTATATTATTGATGTAAGGAACGGAGTTTAAAGATATAAAGCTGTGTGATCGAAATGAAAAAAAAAAAGATATATACATATATCTCGATGCGGTTTCAATTTTCTGGTTACAGTGCGGATCCACAATATAGTTCAGCGGTCATCAATACAAACGTGATCGTCAGTCACACGGGCGAGGTGGTTTGGTTAAGCCACGGTATCTTTCGTAGCAGCTGCGATATAAATGTGGAATTCTTTCCCTTTGATGAGCAACGATGTGCCCTCAAATGGGCCTCCTGGACGTACGATGGATATCAAGTAAGCTTCACCTTTTATAGTTGCGTTTTATTTTCCACATTTGGATCTTCATTCATCCAAATGCAAATTATCAAAGTTTTATATTTGCATAATTGAATATCTGATTTTTAACAGAACAGGTCATTGCGCCGCGTATTAAAAATTTTCTCTTAAAAAATTTCTCTTAAAATGAAGTTCGAAGTTTGTCCCGTTGGGACAAATTATTCAACGATGTAAATTGTGAAAATTCGCAAAATTTGCATTACGTGCAAATATGTCTTCTATTGCAATCAACTCGAAGATATATAACGCGTTTGAAAGTTATATTTATAGTCCTGAATTTTGCATCAAAATATATATCAAATATCACGCTCAACGATTTCGCTGATATAACAAATATCAAGAATCAAACATCCGCACATCAAACTTGTCTCAATATAACATTTTTAATTTCATGAACTAATAATATTATAATATACTGCAAAATGTCTAAAAATATCTATGTATGAAGTAGCACTTGAAATTAAGTTTTTTTTATCTTGAAACACAGAGAGTATATAGTTATATTTTAACAATAAATATTTTATTAATTGCACGTGTCTTGTACTTTACTATTATAACTTTACACTATAACGGAAATATAACGTGAAGAAGCTATACACGAAGCTATAATTTATCCGCCACCTGCAACGTATTGCATAATACATTAATGCAACAGATGATAATAAGTGATTGTTTCTAGAAGATAATCGCGTTTTGATGGATAATGCGACGATAAACTGAGCGGCTCGTGTTGATATCCGCTTACTCAAATCTTAGTGTGAAAATTATAATATGATGTTTTGTAATTTTATTGATAATAACAAAAATGAAAGCTACAAATCAGACAGTGCAAAATAGAACGTTTTCAATTTCACAAGTTAATCATTTACTAACTGTTTTAATAACTGTGAGATATGACTGCATTTCAAGCAGTGATGTAGTGATGCATGGATCGTTGCTCCATTTCATGCCGTTGCTTGTTCACTCAAGTGGCTCTCTGGCCTTGGATGCATACATAATATGTGCTATATGTCACAAAAACAAATTCTAAAATCATGCGCCAGGCAGTTATAAAATATTTTACATATTTATTATGAATTATAAATATGAGATATAAATATTTTTTATTTCTTGTATTTAAAATTAATTTTGTTAAAAGAGCTTATTGTATTATATATTTTGCACTCCGTTTTGTTGACTGATTACAATCACCAAGATATAATTAATCTCTTTGTCGAGACATCTAAAGAGAAAGTATTACTCGAATTCTAATCAACGAGAGAAAATGTATTTTTGGAATTAAAGACAGATTTTTACATAAGTAAACGTTTTTATTTGATTAATCGTTTTTTTTCTCAAGTTATCTCTGAAAAAATAAACAAGAT